TATTTACCTTCTTGATAATATGTATGATAAAGGTTATGACAATGTGATCCTAGAATCATATTAGAAGCATTATGTGGAACTTATATGAAGTATGACATATTAGTTGGTGGCCATGAGTAGTTGATGGTGCGGGTGACTACGTTGTAACTCCTAGGGGTTGAGGTATGGGTAGGTTGTGTGTTGAATTTACTGCACCATTGCAAATGTACCAAGTACAACTAATCCTCAGCACCCCTAGAATGCGTATGGTTCCCCATCGTGGTTAAACCAAGCAGAACCATAGGCATAAGCTTATCATGCATGTAGTGATCACTCATCACGGATATACCAAGCATGATCACCCCTGAATACGTATGGTCCCCTAACGCGGATATACCAAGCAGAACCACATCCTAACTCTAGGTAGTGATCACCCAACGTGGATATACCAAGCATGATCACTCCTAGAATGCGTATGGTCCCCCAACGTAGAAATACCAAGTAGAACCATATGCATAGTCTAATAATATAGGCAGTGATCACTCAACGCGGATATACCAAGCATGAGCACCCTTAACAGTTCCCCAACGCGAATATACCAAGTAGGACTGTATCCTATAACTCTAGGTAGTGATCACCCAACGCGAATATACCAAGCATGATCATTCCTAGAATGCGTATGGTCCCCCAACACGAGTATACCAAGCATAACCATATGCATAGTCTAATCATGCAAGTAGTGATCACTCATCGCTGATATACCGAGCATGATCACCCATCGCTAATATATCAAGCATGATCACCCCTGAATACGTATGGTCCCCCAACGCGAATATACCAAGTAGGACCATTTTGGTTGGATTCTGTGGAGTGGTCTGAAATCTCTACTCTTGCTCACTTCCATAAAGTTAGTCCGGCCCCTAGATTTGAGTAAACATAAATTGTTCACAGTAGACATTGTGTTTATAAATTGGATTTACCTTGTTATTACTTGGAATCCGTGCAGGGAATTATGTTGAATTTCTCTTTTAAATTTCATGAATTGATATGTGATCTTGATGATTGATTAACGTAGTTAAATGTTAATATCATGCATTTGTGATTCATAGTACTGATTAATTGGAGTGATTGTGGAATGACGTTAGATATGATTGTTATTATTATGATAGACTTGTTGATCAATGTGGCTAGAGAATAAATTGTGCTTCGTTGACTGTTCTTTGAGATGTAGCATACTATGAATTGCAGTATTATGTGAAACATAGTGATTTATATGATGGATGAATTGGAATGCATATGCATGGGATTGGCATATATGCGTGCATGATAAGGTAATAGTTGTTGTTTGGTGTATGGTTGATGTGTAATGTGGTACTCTATGATTTTTGCTAGAAGTATTTTACGAAAAGTTTAAAGTTTGACGAATGGTGAACTACGAATGGCTTGATCCCTATTGAGGGTACGTAGGCAGTCTAACGAAGAGGTTAGTTGCAGCCATAAAGTGCACAAAAAATTACTATGTGATTTGATTTTTGAGTTTTGCTTTGTCGTATCCCAGAGGCGGGGTAAGTTAGAGATACAGATATTTGGTGACGTCACGTATCGATCTTAAATGTATGTCGGGATTAGGGCGTGACAAATAGTCATCAGATAGTACTGACTAAATTAGTCTTGCGTTTGGTGCAATATCAAACTATACCTAAATTATTTCCTGTAATTGAGCTTGTTGATCTAAGGTAGGAATGTATTTTAAGAAGAAATTAAAATGCTCTATTCTCTATTGCCCACTCAAAGCCCTAAGGCAACAATCGACTAATGACTGTATTATTTGTATTATGTTTGATACTGCACCTGGATAAGCAAAAAAAATCTTTTTGACAAGTCCTTGTCTGTTTGTTGAATTTTTCTCATATTTATACCAATTGGAAACCACACAAATGTACAATAATAGAAAAAAAAATAGTAAACTCCATACATCAAATTCAAAATGTTTATAAAGTCTAGCAGCAACCTCACAAGGCAAATTATAAAGTCTGGGCGATCGAACCTAGGAAGGAATTCACGAATGTGAGCGTTGTTTCTCCCGACTAGTTATCCATAGGTTTTGAGGGGAAAGGGATAATTAAGCAGGCGTGAAGTGTACTAAAATGGTGGAATCAGATATTTAGTTATGTACTAAAATTATACATAACGCGCCAAATAAGGCCAATGTGGGCAATTAAAGTGACTTAAGTGCTTAGTTTTCAAGAAATTTGCCATTGACATAAAAGTTAAAAGTGACAGCATTTCTTTTATCTCTACAATCTCTTCAAAAGAAGCTTAAAAATAAAAGCATTTATTCTCACCAAACTTGTTCATTGTTCGTAAGAATAAATGCTTTCTTTTTCATCGTTTGAAAAAACAACCTAATAAATTATGTTGGTAAACTGTTTGGCTAAGATTTGGTCCCAACAAATCTAAAAACGTGGTTTGTCACTTGTGGAGTTCCAACTACCAATCACAAAGAGGCAAAATCTCTTTGTTTTTTTTACTTTAGATATTTTTTAAACAACGCTATATTTACATTAAGAAGTGAATGATTTAAGTTAAATTACGCAATAGTCCACCACGATAAATTACTATTGAACTCGTCATCTACGGGTGTCAAAGTTTAGTCAGTATTTATATATGAAGATGAATAAACTGTAACACTAAGCGATGATTTTACGGTAATCAAAAGGAAGAAGAAAGTGTATTTGAGGCCCCACCCCAGGTAGCAATTGGGGCAGAAATAGAAGATCAATCTTTAATTTGGTCACGACACGTAGGCAAACAGAAAGAAAAAAAAAAGAAAAAAAAGAGAGAGAGAATATATGATGACTTGTCCTTGACTTGTCTTGCACGCCAGGTTTTGATTCCATCCCTCTATCACTCATTCATGTCACATGCCTTGCCAGCCCCTAGCCTTTGCCGTTTTGATCAGACCTACCTGCTCTTCTCTCATGGCAGACCAAAAGCTCACCAACGACTAAACTACAGTAATCTTTCTCCCCCATAATTGGGAGAAGCAGCACAAATTTTGCCAACTGGCTACGTAGTACTTAATACTATCGCTATGCGATGTCATTACAGCATATATCCGATCGTTAGATGTTGATAATATTAAGTACTTGTAAGTATTTTAGTCAAATTTCAACGTTAACGTCATTTGCAAGGTTTCAACTGCATTATGTATAATGCGAATTGTATGGTAGATCTTCAATATTACTTCAAATTCAGAAGTGGGAAAAATGAGGGGGACTATATATATCAAATGACCTCGTTTAATGAGTGATATGATATTTGTATTGTCTAACCTAAAGCTACATTGTTTCTAACCATTTGGTCATTTTTCTAATAAAAAATGTCTTGATGTTCGACCCTACGTTCGACCTTTATTCTATCGTTCTAACATGAATATAATATGCTTGACTCTTTACTCGACGTGCTATTTGAGTTTGTAACATGTCCAAAAGATTATGATAAGAGTTTGGTACACTTGATTAAAAATGGTTTGTAGGTGGTTATATTGAAGTCATTTCGTACATTTCTCAACCAAAAGGTTAAAAAATATGTAAGATTGAAAATAGCACCGCAGCCACCCGCAGAGAAAAAATAAGTACATGTTTCTTAGTGGCAACAACTAACAAGCAATCATCACGAACTTTTGCATGCTCCGTTTATAGTTTATTTGTTGAATCATGTGTCTAAAGGGAACCACCCCGCCAATCATAACTTTAAAACTTATAGTGGCCCCTACACCCCCTTTCACATCATGGATGGAGGTCTTCGTCACAAGAAAGAAACAACCAATTCCTTCTCGGACCTCATTACGGTACATGTATCTGCTTATTATAAGGTGTGCAGGATTTGTGGTTAAGCCACACAAAAAGCTAATTATATTAAACTCGCATCGAATTTGTTATCTGCAAGAATCGAATTTAAAATCTCTCAAAAATATCATTAAATTGTGATATTAAATAACGGATAACAATTTTTTCTTGAGTCGTAACGAACCTTATCCGACACTAATTTCCTTTTGGGGTTGAGAGTTAGATGGTTTTGGTGATCCGTCTTCAACCAAATTAATGCCCCTTTTATGTAATGGCAATTCGGTAAACCAACCACTAATTGCAATTCCAACCACAATCTTGGATTTGGATCATTTGGTTCGACTTGTGGAGCCCATGCTTCAAACTCTTTCATGACTCCGATGATCAATGTTTCATCTCACGCATCCTACGATCTACACACATCGCATTCGCATGCTTGCTTTTCTTCTCTTTTTATCATTTTTTTCTTGTCTTGCTCAATAATTGAGTCCCAACACATCATTTTACACGCTTTAACACATTTATTGAATTGTGTAACCAATTAATGTGTATGCGAACAATATATATGGTATCACAAATATGACCCTAGAAATTGAATATAAAATGATAAGTTTAGCCTAGGGTTGTAAGTTGAAATGAAAGAGCTCGAGCTTGTATCGGGTTCGGCTCGAGAAGGAAACAAGACAAGCTTAGTTTGACTCGATTAAGAAACAAGTCAAGCTTGAACATTGGTTCCTTCAGCTCATAAAGTTCGTGAATAATTTGTATTTTTTCATGTTACAGCTTGAAACTAGATTGTAGACTTAAAAATTGCTCGGAAAGAAGATCATGTTTGAGATATTTTAGTTTTTAATTCATTTTTGTGTTAGAGATACCAAATAAAATGAAAACTAAAAATTCGTCTGTATACTATTAGTACTTCGAACTTGGCACATCATAAGTAAAAGAAATACTACTAATTTAAATTGTTATTGAGAAAGGATAAATTCGAACCCAGATACCTGAAAGAAACTAGTCTACTCGAATAAATATGACTACATTTACGTCAATAAAAAAGGGAAAGTGGGATCATTAGTCATTACTTGGGTTGGGTGGGTGGGGGCGAAACACAACAGACTCAGAGAGACATGCGATGCGAGGTATGATTGTGTTAGCATATGACGCGTGACAGCAGATCCCAACCTTCTGTCATCAAACGGACTTGGCGTGTCACTGAAACCACTGCATAAAGCCACGGCAGTCACTCGGGATTTTCTCTCTCCTCATCACCCTTACTAAATACACCAACATCATCCTCTCTCACCTCAACCTAGAGAGAGAGCAGGGAAGAAAAGCACAAGCTGAAGAAGAAGAGCTTCTGAGGAGAGGATCCAGCAATGTCGGTTCTTTGATCCCTCGTTGATTCAATCTTTTTTTATTTTTTGGTTAATTTGTTTTGGTTTTAGCTTTCTCTGATCCGTTTGATACATTCCATCTCATTTTCCGTCGCATTTTCTCGGATTTTCTCTGCTGTCCGGCTTGGTTTTTGCTTGATTTGGTGTGATTAGGGAGCTCTTTCAGATCAATGCCGTCTAATTAGGTAGATTTGGCGGCATTCCTTTCGCGTTTGGTTGCCGAGAAAGTTGATAGGGAAGCACAGGAAATGCGACGATATTATTATTATTATTTCTAATTTTTTGGTGTTTGGATCAAATTATTAGTGATTTTATTTCTTAATTTGTTTCTGTTTCGTAATTAGGAATTTGTTTCTAGCTAATCTGTAAATTAAAACAATCTGGTTGGAATCGGCAGTTTACATTTAGTTGTGGTGATAACCATGCCTTGGTTTCGATAGCGATTCGTTTAGTTTTAGCCATTTATTTTGTGTCTGTCTAAACGAAAAACTATTCCATTAGAGAGTTAAGTTAACCATAAGGAAAATTTCGGCTATAATGACGGGAGGCTTCCTAATTAAGTACAAGCAAACTATATCTGTATTCATTGTTAGTAATGAATTTCTTTTCGTAACTAATTGAGTTTGATTCTTCCCATAGATAGATGTAATGGAGATGAATAATTTCACACATCTGCTTAGATCTACTAATGCCGGTTGAAGTATGAAGCTAAGGGGAGCTATATGAATTTGGAACAATTTCGATTTCATTGTTTCAGCAATCTTGCATTCTTAAACTCTTGATTTATGTGCTCTGTCTGTTAATTCGCAACTCAATTTTTCTCTTGGGAGAGTTTTTGATTGTTCGTTTTGATTTGCAGGAATTTCTGAAAGTGAGAAACTGATTGCATTTTTCGGTTGCCTGTCTGGGATTATTTATATGATATTGGGTGCTAGAATTTGTCAAAAGATCAGGTTTACATCTCTCCCGATTCGTTTTATTTGTGAACCTTATGGTCTCTTCTTCAGTGTAAAATATTCATTTCTTGTATTGTCTTTGTGCCCCTTAGATTACTCGTCTGTCTTGTGGTCGCTGAAAATGAGTTGGAACCCACACATGGAGGTTCATTACACCTACACCAACTGTCCTTATAGCTCAGCGGGTAGCTTTATGGAGTATTTTGAGGGTCTTACCTATGAACATGTGAACTTTATTTTTTCAGGCGATTCGCATGCTCAGGTACTTTACCTTAAATATCTGCGCAAAGGTTTTCTTTTCAACCACTAATCATGGTGATTTGTTTAGTTAGTCTTTAATTATTATGTTTCCAAAATTTAGATCTGTAGGATTGTTGTACATCATCGGAAAGGAGTTTATATGGGTTTCCATAGTAGGATTGCTCATAAGTCATAAGTAGCAAGTTTTTATTTAATTTTATACCATTAATAATGCAAATTTTGAACCTTGGAATGTTTATCTGTATTTTCATCTATTTAAATTTCTTTCAATTTCAATTTCCTTCTCACTTGTAGGAGAGTGCTTACCCAACAATGAATACAAATTATTACAAGTTTGGGTTGTCAGAACCTGGGAATATTACTTCATACTATGATCTTGGGTTTGGTCATGCTTATGAGATCAATGGTCCTGACCCAAGAAGTGGGGAACAAAGAAGGCATTTGCAGAGCGCTTCAACAATGACTAATGAACAGAATGTGGCTGTGAACTCAGAATGGGAAGGAAATGCGAATAATTCTACACGCCACAACCCCAGAGAATGTAAGTTAGTAGTGTTGCTTTTCTCCTTTCTTCTCTTGGGGTGGGGATGGATGCTGCAGGTGGTGAGGAGTTTCATGATTATGCTCTGCGGTTTTCTCTTTTCTGTAAGAAGCCTTGAAGACTGGTAAAAATATTATTTTGAACAAATAAGTGACCATGTATGTTCACTGGCAATAGAGTTTCCACAGTTTATGAAAGTCTAATAGCGTTCTCTATTATTACTATTTTTCCTAAATTGTGGATTAAAACATTACAGGGCCTGGATGAACCAGTGACATAGAGAATAATTAATCTTAGTGGTGACTTATAGAGTTAGATGAATTATATAATACCTCTAGGGAATAAGAAGATAAGAATTACTTGTTTGATTGGTATAAAGTTTGTCATTTTTCGTATTGTTGCCTAAAGGTAGTAGTAGCACCACTGATTGTTACCCAGTGACTGTTTATTATAAACTTACAATGTTTAAGGACTGTGCACTACAGACATGTTTCTAACCAAAGTTGTTGGTGTGGCTGCTATTTACTCCATTTTTATCCTCTTTGCTCCCAATGTCATTTGGTCTGTTCCAAGTCACTTCTATACACTTGAGACTTGAATATTTTCTATCAATCTAAGTATCATCCTTTACATTTCAGGCCCACGGAGACATCAAAATTCCGATGATAACCAGGTATTTATTTCTCCATACTCTGGGTCTTTCTCTAAATGTATGTATATACATATAATTACGAATGCATTCATATATGCGTATGTGCAACAAATGTGCACATGGGCACCTATATTGGAGGCTGAGTAAAATTGATTGGTTTAACATGAATGGAAGTGTTAGATGAGTAAATCATCACAGCCTTGGCAGGCCTCTTCCTGGTTTCCAGTGATAACTTCAAAAATTACCTTAACCAAAGCTTTTATACCTGGAATTTTTCTCTACATCGTTATCATTTTCAAACTTTTTATGTGAAACAAAATGAGCTCAATAGATTACTAAGTTGGAGCATTTTCTGTGAAATATGCAGGTTATTTGGCAAGACAACATTGATCCTGACATCATGAGTTACGAGGTTAGAGCTAATTGCACTTCTCCTCCTGAGAATTTGGATAACACAATTGTATTATAATTTCAAGTAATCCGTCTTATCTATTGAATTGTTGTTTAACATTTCTCTGGATTAGGTATTGTTTAGATTTTATGATAACAAATGGATACACTAGCCATGGTTTATACTGGAACAAATTTAAATTGTGTTTTGTGTATGTTTTCTTGGTGGTTCAGATTTACTTCATTTTTGGGAGGATTGCTTGTGTGCCAAACAATCATTGCACGGCTCCTTTTGTAATTTCTGTTCTTAATGAGGAGATTCTTGCAAATTTCTTAAGTATCTGACTTTCACTTGTCAATGTGACGTTGGATCTGGCTATAGAATTGTATTCATGGTGGGGACCTTACTATATAATTGTTAGTGAGTGAATCTCTAAAGCAGAACAATGTTCTTGAGTTGTGATGGTAGTTTTAGTAGTTGTATGTCTGTAATGTCTTGTGTTGTATGGGAACATCTAGTGCTTACTAAAAACCTTTTATGTGCATGCTTATGATTTTGCTTCTTAACATATATTTAGTATATTGTTACTGACAATGTTCTTTACGTTCAGGAATTACTTGAGTTAGGTGAGACGGTTGGCACTCAAAATCGAGGTCTCTCCCAAGATCAGATCTCGTTGCTTCCAATCTCAAAGTACAAATGCAGCTTTTTCTCGAGAAAGAAATCACGAGACGAGAGGTATACATTGCCCTTATTTTGTTGTTCATTTGATAAAACGTGATTACTCTCTCTCTCTCTGAAGTCCTGTTTTATGGAATCTCTTTTGGTTAGATATAGAAGTGGGAAGTTTAATGTCTACTGATAAGAACAACTTTTTCCCTTGATCAAATCTCAAAGTCCTGGATTTTGCTGTTTACATTAGTAGGGTGTTCTGTGGAGAACATATAGAACACTGATTACTTGTAGTAGGTTGTATGATTTTATGAGTCTCGAATGGTTCTGTTTGCACAAGGATATAAAATGTTGGATCATTTTTTGGTAGGATGTTGAAGTAAATTTTGGACCTGACTTTAGATTTTTCATGTATTGGCACTGTGGAGCGTAAAAGTAGGGATTGGATTTTAGCTCTTCAGCTGCATACTTCAGTGACCTACTTGGTTTTATGCAATTTTGTGGTTTGCTTTGAAAAATATACAGAGACAACAATATTGGATGGGATAGGATTTTGGTAAATTTAATGGTTTCAAATTGATGAATACTCATAATTACATCTTTCTGTGCTTCCTACCGAGAGGCCTTTCATTTCATATGCCATCTGTTGATTGTAAAGGCCATCTATTGTATGAGCAGCTTTCCAAATGTACTTCATATTTACTTGTATTCCCTTGTTGGATGTAGATGTGTGATTTGCCAGATGGAATATAAACGAGGGGACCGGCGGATTGCTCTACCATGCAAACACCTCTATCATGCTGGTTGTGGGACCAGATGGCTTAGCATCAACAAGGCAAGCTGTTGTGGTTAATTTTTTAAGAGGAATATATTGGTGTTTATAACTTATTGGAGTTGTTTTAGCAATGCCTCAATTTTAGCTGACAAGTATTTCTTGTATCAGGCTTGCCCAATATGTTACACTGAGGTTTTTGGTGATGCGTCAAAGCGCGCAAAATAGGAGGCCCGATGAGCTTAAAGAAGAGAGCCTCGAAAAAATTTTCTTCAAATTTGGTTAACAGAGGTGCATGTTTGCTTCTTTTCCACGTTGTTTGTAGAAGCATTGTCTGAGCTATTTTAATAAATGAGAATGTTACGAAGTGAAGGATTCCGATCATTATATCGTGTTGCGGCTCTGTGAGGTGCATGGTGTTTTCAATGAGTTTTATGCATTTGTCATATACATTAGCTTCACAAACTGCTCGTAAATTCCAGAATCGACTCATAACATCAGGTGATTTGGTAATGTTACGCAATTATGGTGGAGTACAAAAATGATCCTGTAAATATGGAAGCTAGTTGCAGTAGGTATAGTTTCCCTTCCTCTTATTTCTGCATGCTACAACTATTCATTTGTATTGTGTTGGGTAGCAACAATGTTTTTGAGTTTCGCTCCATGGAATTGAATGTTATGCAAGGTATATGCCTATTCTCACACTGGATCCCGCCTCGCACTCGCAGGCAGTCATGTTATGCTTATTTTACAACGCGTTATCAGTACAAGAGTCTCTAATGTATATTTTGTTTTCAAATGTGTTTAGAAAGTTGTGCATTAATGTTCTTGATGGAAATGTGTAGAAATTTTTGGACAAGAGTATGTAGCATGTATAAAAGAGTAGCTTATAGAAAACCTTGCTTGGATTAAACGACATGAGAAACTGCACTGAAGGAAAAAAAGACATGCACATAAAAACTCAACCAACAAGGAATGAGAATGTACAAGAAGGAAATGAGGAATCTGTACTTGTGGTAAAGAGTCCGACATGCTCTAAGATATGATTTAGGAATCACCGGTCAAAGTGTTTGAATATGATTAAGAGTTTCAATCATATTCATGTGAATCATATGGACTTGAGAATTCATATTAGGGGATCGACACAGGTTTGTTTAGTGCACTAGTAATGTGGTTAAGAGTAATGAATTATAAAGAGATTGTATGCATTGCAATTCCAACTAAATAGATTTTGTATCATTTTTCTTAGTTTAGGTAAACATGATATAGTACGAGGTGTTGCTCATAGCTTGTGGGAGCCATGCGAATTAACCATAACCAGTTATCATAAAATGAAGAATTTTAGTACTTTTAATACATAATCAATTAATAAGAATTTTAATTGCTCAAAACCTCGCTAGCTAGAATCTAATGGATCACACAATCATAAACTTAAGTTTGGAAAAATCAATGGAGATGAGTAAATTAATTTATCCTTAACCCATTTACGGATGTTTTTCTGGTAAATTTGTTCAAAAAAATAAAATAAAAAGTTTAGTAAAATAAAAGAGCATACAATGCTGAAATGGGCCTTAAATAGTTGTACATGACAATTAGTAACAAAAGGCCCAAATAGACCAATGACAAGACAAAATGCCCCTTCAATCATAGAACCAAAGTAACTTTTGATTCTAACTTTGTCAAATTTTCAAAGTGTTTTCTGTTATGTGCTTCTTTAAGAAGTAAGCATGATTTTGATTCCAATCAGTTCAGTTTTTTGTCGGAATTGAAAACTAAACCAAAATTACTGTTTAAGCTTTTTTTTATCCAACTCAGTACGGGTTCAGTTCCTTTTTTTTTACCTAAAGTTTTTTAATATATCAATCTGAAAATTGGTCATTTGGAACGAAAAGGAAGGAAACAAAGTATAGGAAATATGGAGTGATTATTTGAAGATGGAGACACATATAGAGCTAGCAGAAGTAGAGGGAGGAAAGAAGATTAACAAAAATATGAGTTCTTTGTTTGACTATTCTCAGGGTGGAGTAACAAAAAAAAAAAAAACATAGCATAGCTGAATGGATTGTGTATTTAGTGTTTGGGCCCGAAATCAAGGATTTGGGTCCAGATGAAACGAATCCTAGTGGAATTGAGATTGCTAAAGGATTAGATTTAGGTGTAACTCGGTCGAGTTCTGGATTAATTAGAAATTTTGAAGGATCAGAATGAGTTTTGATAAGATTTGAATTATTCCAAGAATCAAAGACCTATGGTTTATCAGATATGGACTGAATTAAGCATCTAAGGGGACTAGGTTCAAAATCTAGTCCAAGTCGAAGAGGTTGAGACTAGGTAGAGATACAGTCTCGGCAGGAAGGGGGTTTGATGAGATAAGTGCCAAGGAATCATTGTCCTGATAGCATTGTACCACTCAGAAGACTTGGTCATCATGAAATTAACCCTTATAAATACAAGCGGTTTTACAACATAGAGAGGACCTCCAACTCAGCACACAAACAAACACTCTGCATAAAACCTTCTCATATTCTAAGAAAAACTCTAACTGCTTCACTAATCTCTGTAAGCAAAAATTCAGTTTGGTTGAACATCTTTGGAGCTGTAGAATTAGTCAGCCTAGGAGTAATTTCAATTTGGTTAAACAACACCACTTCTATTTCGGTTGATTATTTATCCTAAGTCTCAGCTAATAAAGAGCCTTTGATTCTTTCACCGAAAGATGTCACTTCATCAGTATACCCTGCGAAGTGAGGTGTTCTATAAGCAGTTGCTCATAAGTGCATTTCAGAGTTAAGCATTTAGACGACTAAACCACTTTTACCGTAAATACACTCACCTCCTTTGAGTATCTTCTGTCCCTACTGATGAATCGATTTTATACTATATATTTTCTCCTATTCTTGGTATATTTTGGCGAGATTTTGATGCTTTATTATGTATTTTCGATGTAGGACGTGTGAATCCATTTTGACCATAAAGTCATTAGACGGTGAAATTTTTGAGTGATTCCAATTATAGAGGATTTGTGAGTATGTCAAGAAGGTTGTATCAAAATTTCATAATTTTTTTCCCAAAGCATCTGATCGTGGCAAATTGATTTGTGCCCAGCACGTGGTGCTGGTAGATTGAGTTACAGAATTTATTTGCGACTTTTGGGCTGGAAGATGATGGAGTTTGGACTTGGGTCCCTTTTGAAACTTGAAGAGGAGGTTCTTATCAATTCAAGTCATTTTGGAGCCCTGAAGATCTAGAAACGTAGCTATTTCTCTGATGGGCAGATTTCCTAATCATATTTGGATTGTATTTTTAAGTTATCCTTTAGCTATTATATTTCCTAGTTTTTAAAAATCATTTTCTACTAAGGATTTTAATTTGTAGTAGTATAAATAAGGTTTTTTAGCCATTAAAGTTCTATACGCCACATTGAGAGAACTTAGTAAAGCTTTGGAGAATTTCAGACTTTTTACCTACAATGTGTTTTCAATCATTTTTCTAGTTAATGACATCTTCTTTAGTTTTTATTATGATTTTGCGTAACTAGTCCTTTTTCTCGAACGAGGCCATGAGCCTTAGAATGAATATGTGATTTTATTAATTTACTTATGAATGGATGCATGCTTGCTTTGAATTATTAATCACCGTGTTTAAACTATCAAATTGTCTTAATGATTCACGACCATTAGGGTATTTAAACAAGTAATTTGATGCAATTTATGTTGGAAACTTGGAACATCACCCTGAAATTGAGGAGGGCTTCTTGTGATTAGCAATTATAAGTTCCCTTAAGGCGAACATCACGCTCTTAGGGGTTGCATGGCTTTTCAAAGGGTTTTCACAAAACTTAATGAGTCTTGCATGTATATGTTTGATCTGAACATCAAACATGTTGCGTTAGATATATATTTTCACTTGAACATCACGAGGAAAATATGCACTAGGAAAATCTAACCTTTAAAGCATGTATGTGGAAATTCATAAATAAATAGTAAAATTGCATAGGATTGTTAATGGTGACGGTGGAATCCTAGTGCTTCAATTGATTTTCAAAACCATTTTCTTTTAGTAAATTTTACTATGCCAATTATTTAATTGTTTTTATTTAAAATTTGTTTTTGTGATTTTAAATTTCAAAATCAACCTTTTCGAAACTTTGTTTCAAATAATTAGTAAGGATTTGTTTAAATACAAATGATTCGTTCAATCCTTATGGAGAATGACATTACTTGAGTTGTTTATACTACAACTACCTTATTCTCTTGCAAGTATTTTAAAATGTTTTTATCTTTACTTTTGCAGGTGGTAAAAATCCTATTACCTACAACTTGATTCCTATTCGACACACTTATATTTTAATAAACATAGTTGATGAGGCCGAACCCGATGCAGAAGGTCATGAACTTAGTAGTGAATTGCAAAACCTTTTCTTCAGGTTTTAGAACCCAAGGCCAAGAGTATTCCTTCTTATGCCGAAGTCAATCGCTGCAGAAGTCAGCATGCGCTTTCGGTACCGCACCACCACATTCATCTCATTCGCCCAACTGAGCTCAGTAGCGAATCGGCACACCCACATCAACAACCATCCACAGAAGGACGTTGTGAGCTCGTTAGTTACTTAGCCTGCGCTCCTCATAGGTTATGAAATTTCTAGGGTCAATAGTTGGTCAGCCCAAGTAAGTCTTTTAATTAAATCCTCTATCCCAGCATCAAACTTGAGCAAAGGCTTTATCTTGCCATTCTTATTATAATTTCATTAATACTTCCGTTCTGAATGATACACAAATTGTCTTTATATATTACAAGAGTGGTGTAGATAGTTTTAGAACAAAAATTCACCAAGCTCAAACATCTTGCAAATACCAAAATCATGCCTCGGCGAATCGAGCTGGGTGAGGTCGGTTGTCGAGACGGCGGGAGGAAACTCACAGGGGTGGCAGCGAGGCGGGCGAGGTCGACATCGAGAAGCGACGACGTCGCGGTGAGCTGGGTGACTTCAATGTCGAGAGGAAGCTTGCAAGGGTGACTAAGTTGAGAGCAGTTCCAGCGTTGATAGCCTCCCCTGAGCTATAGGCAACTCAATCCCCTTAGTGAACAATAACTGCTCAAGGCATTAAAGCAATTAATAGGTGATGGAGCCTTGGTCAAGTGAGGCATGTTATTTGAATCTGTTCACCACTCTTCTAAAGTAACATTAAGCACGCCCTACGCCCCTCGGGTTAGTAAGGGTGCACCACCCTTACGAGTGGGGTAGCAAATAATTTCTTTTATATATATATATATGTATTTTTTTTTTTAATTTTAATTAATTTTTTTTTATTTTTTTAATAGTAGATGACGTCATGGTGACGTAAACCTTGCGTCACTCCACCTAGGGGCTAGGCCTATTGATT